CCCCTAAAATATTATATAGTTTTATAGGAGGAGGTTTCATAGACTTTTCAAATTAATTTTTCAGAGGTTTGTAGGTACAGACATCTGTTGTGGGCATTCTTGGCAGTTTGAGGCTTTTTAAAATATTGTTCCTATCAATATTAGAATTATGGAACTAGACAAAAACAAGGAGATAAGCACACTCTACAAACTATCCCCGCAGCATTTAGGCAGGCATTTCCAACAGATTTAGACAGAGTAAAACAAATCACTGTAACAAATCATGATTTAAAAATTTTTTAAAATCAAGGACATTTCTATGGCATTTCTTTCTTTTTGCTGTATTGAAAACTAGGGCTGGGTAAAAAATATAGATATCTTGATTTTAATCTATTCTCATTTTTACGGAACAATATCAGTTCTTTAATCCCAAGAATCAATTATTCTAGCCTGTTTTTAGTTAATGGATGGAACATTGAAGGGTACTTCCCATCCAATATATCGCAATAAGCATTGTGCTTTTAATATGAACCAAAGTCTTAGATTTCAAATTCTGTCCATTGTATTGCAGTATTTAAACCATAAATGCCATTTTGGAGCTATTTAATGTGGAGTGACAGATCGCTGTAGCGCCTCAGTTCAGCAGACGGTTCCTATCAATATTAGAATTATGGAACTAGACAAAAACAAGGAGATAAGCACACTCTACAAACTATCCCCGCAGCATTTAGGCAGGCATTTCCAACAGATTTAGACAGAGTAAAACAAATCACTGTAACAAATCATGATTAAAAAATTTTAAAAATCAAGGACATTTCTATGGCATTTCTTTCTTTTTGCTGTATTGAAAACTAGGGCTGGGTAAAAAATATAGATATCTTGATTTTAATCTATTCTCATTTTTACGGAACAATATCAGTTCTTTAATCCCAAGAATCAATTATTCTAGCCTGTTTTCAGTTAATGGATGGAACATTGAAGGGTACTTCCCATCCAATATATCGCAATAAGCATTGTGCTTTTAATATGAACCAAAGTCTTAGATTTCAAATTCTGTCCATTGTATTGCAGTATTTAAACCATAAATGCCGTTTTGGAGCTATTTAATGTGGAGTGACAGATCGCTGTAGCGCCTCAGTTCAGCAGACGCTGTAGTGCGAGGCACACGTGAACTAATCATCTCCTCCACATTAATACCAGCTTCAGTACAAAATAAACATGACTAAACATCCGAAGATAAGTTAAAAGAAAAAGTACAACTTTACAATCATTACCCTGTCTCATGTAATCTCTCAATTAGTGTTTCAGCCGCGCAAAGACGTCAATATAACGGCTTGTAAATTGCATTTTGCTACATATATGCACCATATAACATTCATTATAATTTTTACTGTTCTTCAATGTTTAATTAGTTTAAATTAATCCATCAAGTTTTTGACAGCCACCATTTAAATGTTTATATTTCAAAAAATTTACTTGAAGTAGAAGTATTATATACTAATTGTAAATATTATTTAAAAACTTCATTGTGTAATTTTAGCAGTTGTATATTAGCCTACAAATCAGTCAATTTTATCCTTCAATATTATAGTAATGTAGTACCAACTGACTCATGTATATTTTACAGCATTAGTTGAGAGTTTTTTTTTTTCCTTGAGAAATTTGGCATGTACTGTACCTGATATGTATCCAAAATAATCTATATTGAATCAAATCAGTAATCGAATTGAATCGCTAGCTTGTAAATGAGAATCGAATCATGACATTTTTTTTTGTCAAAACCCAGCCCTATTGAAAACGTACCGAACCATGACACCACTGCATCGTATCGAACCGAACTGTGAATTTTGTGAACCGTTACACCCCTAATCAATACTGGTGTGCATTAGCGCCTTTAATTACCGTTCTATATTAACGCGCTGCTTACTGGCGCGCACACACACACACATATCGGAGATCTCTCACATCCAGGAGCAAAGAAACTTGTCAATGCTGCCCCACGACTAGGCCTGTCGCGATAATTAAATAACCGTCTAATCGTGATTATTTGCTCGAACCGTGGTTGTTTCAGACAACCGCGATTGTGCTTTTTATATGGCACAAGGGGGAGTCATACACCAAAAGATACAGAAGAGCACCAGTTTGGTTTTCATGCACTGTATAGCCTATATCATCTGAAGCCATTCCATATCTTAATGTGAGGGACAGAATTGTATTTACATTGTTAAATTTAAGTTTACAGAAATTGATCTTCCTTCTGCTGCAGCCGTCAGTTATTCTCCACTCAGCATTCAAACAGCACATCACGTTCAGTTAAAACAGTCAGCACAGTAAAACTCTCTCTCCAAGATGATAGATTGCCATTATAATACTTGATGTGTAGATAAAGGTCTGCGGATTTGCATAACATGACATCTTGCTTGGGTTTATTGCTCTTATTTCTCTTCTCTTTGTTTTGTACCGTGTGGAGTGCAGCGTGCTGTGACTTATGTTGCTTCAAGAACATCATTCTGCACCCTGGATGTGCATAAGAGCTTTGTGCCGCTCTGTTTAAAGTGTTTCACATTATCAAAGATTATTAGAAGCTTTTATTTTTCTCATGATTTCTATCTTATTTTCATGAATGTATTTTGTAATAATACAAATAGTCAACAGAATAAACATGTTTAAATTGTATAAGGTGCAAGATTTTTTTTTTTAAATATTGTTTTTGCTGCTAAATTATACAGTCAGCTAGTTTAATTTCATAGCTTATATTTTTATTCAAATTTATTTTTTCTCTCCATTTAGTGGATTGTTTAACAAAGGGTTTTTAAAAAAAGTGACCATTACTTCTACAAACACAGTACTGATATTCTGTAAAAAAAAATATTATAATAATAATAGCGCTGGTGTTCATTCGCTATTGGCAGATTCTTAGAATTTGAAATACTCAATGAATTCTTACACTGCAAAATAATAACTCAAAAAAGATTAAAAGATAACATCATAATTATTTACTGAACCCTTAAATGAATCACAATTATATAATGAAAGCCATAAAAAAGACAATTAATCGCAATAACCGTGACTAATTTTTAGACAATCAGCCAAATTTTATAATCGTGTCAGCCCTACCCATGACTTTTATTAATGACGGTTTAAATATCAAATCGCTACATTATATTTTCGAGAAACGAGAAAATGCAATCGCTGTTTTTGAAGTAAACTCACTTGTTGCAAAGAGACGCACAGACCAGCATACACGCAACTTTTCTCTCTCTCTCTCTCTCTAACTAATATTCATTTTTATATTCACAATCTCCTCATCACAGGCAGGCACAGCACTCAATTCAGCATGTGTTTGTGTGTGCTGTCTGAGTCACTCATAGCACGTGCCTATATCGTGCACTATATCAAACATTTTTTAGATCGTTATCGAAGAAGGTGTACCGTCGATAAATATCGATACTGTCTTATCGCCCAGGCCTAATTCATACCCCTTTGTTTGAAGTGTGGTCCCGAAAAATCTTCGTTTGAAGGGCTGTTTGGCTCTTCCCCTACCCCTACTCCTCCAACCAAAAGAGAATCAAGACACCCCTTCACGTGAACGCGCAAAACGGAGGGGTAGGGGAAAGGGGAAGGGCTAAGGGGTAGAAATGGGATTGGGCCTAAGTCTAAGTATTTAAGTATTCAGTGCTGGGATGAACACCATAGTGTATACAAAAATCTGAATGACTGTTTAAATAATTTAAATACTGTTCAGAAACAAGGTAGCACTGCTGCTTTGTTTACCGGGTTATGGCTGCATTTCTGCTGTTCTAACCGTGCTCTGCTGTCAGAGAGTGAATGTGCATTTTCATTTAGTGTGTCTCCTTTACACGTTCCGCCATGCAGTTCTTATCCGTGTTGGGTTTGTTTACATCAGTGTGCAGGCCCCTTTGACGCAGCATACAGCGGTGTTGTGCATTTAAACCAGTTAATTGGAAAAGTATTCTTAAAATGCATTAAAAAAATCGGAATCATTTGTAATAAACAATTATTCACTGTATTTTGAAGTGCCCACAATTACAATATAGTGTATGTTAATTATCGTGATGTATTGTATTACTGAATACACATGACTAGTGTAAACAATGAGTCAAAGAAACTGGTTGCAGAATTGTTTTCTGCAAACATTTCTAACACAGGATGTGGTTTATATGCTTGATTTCCTATGATGAGGTTTTTATTGAAGGCTTCAGCAATCTCAAACCTGTTTCACTAGGTTACATCTAAAAATAAGGTTGTATAAATAATCTTTCTGAAAAGATCTGAAAAAAATTAGTGGCAAAAGAACCTGCTGTATAGAATGAACGACAAGATCTATAGGAGGATAATAAGCCATCTGTCACATGATTAGCAGTGTCTCCAAATTATTTTTTACAGCCTTGTTTTAGTTTTGAATTTGAGTTGTTTTTCAGGTGCCCAGTGTGAAGCCCCTGCCCTCCATGAACTTCTCATCCTCATGTCTTCCACACAACTCTAAAGACCGATTCTCCAGCGGCATGCCAGGTATTGCACACTTGAGCTGATTTTTTTTTCTTTTAAGCTTGCACACTCTACTATTGCTAGTAAATGGTTTGAGTCCAAGTTCCAAATAAGTACCTCTCATTTGTGAAGTATTTGCTTTGCTGGAACACCAAAAATAGGCATTATTACATGTTATATAATAAAACATTTTCCAGTATCATTACTGTAATATAAAATTACTCATCATGCTTCGTTATGCCGCCCACCCACTTCTGAATCTTTTCATATCCAACTATCATCTGGAATATTTGATATCGCCTCTATTACAAGACAGATGTTTCCAGGGGGTATTTAATGCTTACTCTGTCTAAAACATAAGGGCAAAATAAGATCCAGTTTGGTTAATTTTGACTTTTTTTTAAGCTGTGTGAAAACAGAGAACTGAGGCCATTCATTCTAAATCTGCCCCTTAGGTTGCGAGTCCACCAAAGCAGTTTTATCCAAGGCTAGCGGGTGTTTTTTTTTTTTTTCCTCTCTCTCTCTCTCTCTCAATTGTATTCAATGGGGGCACCCTTTTTTTTATTTTTATAAATGCCAGGAGCGTGATTAGGTGCTGAGTGTTTAGTGCTCTGCATTTTTTTTCTTCTCTCTGTCTCTGCACCGAGAGTTGAAGAATGTTCATCTTTGGGTAAAACACAGCACTTGTCACTGTCAATTTTGTAGTCAGCCATCCAATCACAGTGGAGGATGAACAGGACAAATTCCACACCAACCACCAGTCACATCAAGCGTTCACAGCTGACTAAAGCCTGGTGTAGGGAAATTTACAGTTAAAACCCAAGGACCAGGTATGATGAATGAAGACCAGGGCCTGTATTCTTAAAGCTTCTAAGAATCCTCTCAGAAAGCTCCTAATTTAGCTTAATTTCTACATAGGTGTTACGATCCCATCCCCAGTCTAGGGTTGGGAAGTGGGAGTAACAGCTTAGCTAAAACTTATATGGAAGAAATTAATAAAACGCGGAGGAATCACTCACGTTCTCTGCTCCAGAAAAATGGAAACAACACCACCTAGTTTGGCAAACTTTATTTAGGAAAGCCAGATTTGTGGAAGTAATAAATATCTTCAGGAGAGAGCCTGGCCAAAACAACAACCAAAATAGCAGCTGACTAACAGGAGGAGTACTAAATAACCTATGCGAGTAAAGGAAAAGAAATCAACAACATAAGCTTTCCTCAACTCCCTCACTAACCAAAAACAGGGATAAACAGGAGTACACAATCAAATGGCACCCTCTCCCTACAGCTTCCAACCTAAGCACAAACCAAATAAACCAAAACCAGTTACATTACCTTTTAATACCGTAACAGGCAAAGTAAGAATAAAGTAAATTTACATACACTGTATGGTTACAACACAATCAGCTAGTCAATCGGGATGCAACTCACTTTCAGAAGTATACACTTAACAGACAACTATTTAAGTTACCCCTTCAATCAACAGCTGTCTTAAAGAGAAAACACCCAACACAAGTCTGGAGCAGGGGAGAAATGAGCCTCCCCAAACAGGGTTCACTCTGCTCTTTTATAGCTGTGTTCCGTCTGCAGCGAACTCTCTGATGAGCACCACCTGTGGGTAATTTGGAACTGCCCAGCAAGCAGAGAGTGAGCGAGATAGGAGGAGAGAGAGAGAGAGCACACACACAGGGGACACATAACCACACCCAAAAAGGTGGAAAAACACCTCAACAATTACTCTTTTAAATACATACATCCTAGGGATGTAACAATAGGAGTCTTAGCTTAAAGGGTTAGTTCACCCAAATATAAAAATTCTGTCATGAATTACTCACCCTCATGTCGTTTCAAACCTGTAAGACCTTCATTCATCTTCGGAACACAAATTAAGATATTTTTGTTGGAATCTAAGAGCTGTCTGACCCTGCATAGACAGCAATACAACTGAAATGTTCCCAAGTCCAGAAACGTAGCAAGGAGTTCTGTAAAATAATCCATGTGTGACATCAGTGGTTCTTTGCGCGCAAAAGTAATACTTTGTGTGCAAAAGAAAATTTAAAAAACTACTTTATTCAACAATTCGTCGTCTCCGCATCACCCTGGTGCCATTTTGGAGAATATCCGCTGGACGTAAAGAACGTATGCTGTTCTGTGTCAGCTGCGTCACACTGATACGCTGTTTCCGTTCAGATCAAATCACAACAACGTAGGAAACCGATCCGGCGTGACGCAGCTGGCAAAGAACAGCATATGTTGTTTACGTCCAATAAAATTCCAAAATGGTACCAGGGTGATGCGGAGGAGACGAATTGTTGAAATAAAGTAGTTTTTTTTTTAAAAAAAAATGTTTTTTTTTTTTTTTTTTTT